GGCTCTGTGAACCTGGCTTAGGAAATACTCAACAGGCCGAGGGAGGGAGAGAGCAAAGCCCCAACTTCACAGGTGCCACCAGCGGCACTGTCCAGGGTTCTACTGCTGGCCCCTTGGAAGGCCACACACAGGTCGCTCCCAGCACTGCCCCCCAGGGCCAGGGCAGACCCTAATCCAGTGTCTGCTTGCCCATGGGGCCTCGCATCTTGCATTGGTCTGGGAAACAAAGGACACTGACCTGGGACCCAACTTGAACTTGTCGTTTGAGAGGAGAATGGCATGACTTGCATTTCACAAATGAGGAAACTGAGATCAAGGACAGCCAGTCCCAGAGCAAGGCAAGGGACTGAGGCAACACTAGGGGCAGGGGGCTGCCCATCTTGCCTTGCTCTGGGACAGCTGGCCGCCTCGCCTGCTACTCATGTGCAGCCCAGAGCTTTGTTTGTTTCTCACACATCCGGAAACACCCTGGAGCCCAGCTGATCTCCAGGGGGAAAGAGTGATTTAAAGCAGAACCGAGGCTTGTAAACAGCTGTGAGGTTTCTCAGAGGGCAGAAGGCGTTGAAAACCTTTGGTGGATTCAAGGGCTTTGATCAGACAGGGGAGGGAGCTGGACAGTCATGAGCATCTCCAGGCACATTGCTGTGGCATCTGTATATGAGGAAGCTGAGGCTCAGAGGAGGGATTTGAACCCGGGCCCTGCAAGGCCAAACCCTGGCCTTCACTCTGTGAGTTGCTGGTAAACCTCCCCAAGCTACCTTCCTTCCCACTCCATCTGTGGGAGATGCAGGGAGATGAGCGGGGCAGCTGATGGCCAGTGCCCTGTTGTCTGGGGTGGGGAAGGGCTGCCTGGATAGGAGAGACCACCCACCACCACCACCCAGGGCATCCCCCCCTCCATTCTGGGGCTCTGCCCTTCCAGACTGCCCAGCTGCTCAGAACAGCCCTCGCTCTGCTCAGAAGGACTTGACTTGGGCTTGAACACTCAGACACTTGCCCTGCCCTACCTTTGTCCAGCCTGACCACAGCCCCACCCCATGTTTTCCTTGGCTCCATTCAGACCAGCCCCAGGTCCTCCCCTGAGGTGTTTGTCCTCTCAAGAACACCCAGAGCTGGGCTCAGCCCCCGCTCCACGGTAGAAACACCTAGTTTGTAGACGGTCTGCACAGTCTCACACCTCAGTTGCTTTGCTAAGACCCAGCCAGGCATTGAGTCCATCAAAACTGAGTCCCCTGAGCCCACTGCAGGGGTGGAAGGAGTGCTGTCCTTTTAAAGACCCTCAAAGTAGAATGACGGCTCAGACAGCCTGCAGGAAAGAAACCTGTTCCGCAGAGCGTAACTCAGTGCTTCTCAAACTTACTTAACCGTGGAATCCCTGTCTCCAGGCAAGCCTGTTGGCACCCTTCAGGGCAGTGTGCTGTGGGACACCAGTTTGGGAAAGGCATTCTGTAGGGTAACTGTGGGCAGGGTCCATCTCCTGGAGATTCACAGCCAGGGTCCCCCAGCCCAGAGGGCAGGCCCAACTTCCCCAGGACAGGAGGAGAGGTCAGAATCACATCCCCAAGCCAGGCAGGTACATCTGACTCCAAAGCCAGCTGCTCCCTCCATGCCAACCTCGGAGTCCCCTCCTCAGTGACCACACCCACCCAGCGACCTCTCCCAGGTTAGCCACTGCCCCATACAGAGAGCTCGGGGGCTGGGGATGGCTTTCTTGCCCAGGTGTCATCCTGGCTGTGGGTTGGCTCTGTCCCAGGGGCTGGCCCAGCCCCGTCTGCTCCATCAGTTTTCACACAGGGAGCTTCGGTGCAGGCACGGACATCCACTCAATCTCAGCTCCAGGCTTGGCTTCTGGGAATTGGAATCGACTTCCCTTCAGCCTGTAGTGGGGGCTCCCAACAGCACTGCACACCCCACACCCTCTGCCTCTACTGGGAAGCTACAAAATGTATTCGCTTGTAAAAACTCCCAGGGCTCTGTGATCACCCATACAGGCAGCACCTTTGGTGGGAAAAATGGTTTTCTGTCACAGATGGGGCTTCTCACACATCAGAAAGAAGCCTCGGGGACCAAGCCCGCACCATCAGTGACCTCTCAGGAACAGTCTTAGGTTGGCAGAGGGGAGCGTCCAGCTCAGAAGGCCTGTGGCCACTATAAGGTCTGATCAGGCAGACTTTTCCAGAAACAGCCGGCAACACTGAGACGCTGTCTCTGAGGTTGAGGCCAAGGGACAGCCTGGGCTCCCTTCCACAGGCACTTCTAGAAAGGCAGAGCCCTGTGGTTCTGTGTGCTTCACATCCAGGGGCCTTGGAGCATGGAGGGTTTAACAGAGGCATGCCAGGCCTAGAACAGGAGAGTGTGGCCAGGAGGCCAGACAGCGCCTCGGCAGGGCCTGCGGTGCAGGTGGGATGGAGACGTGGGGCCCAGACCCTCTCCAGCTGCATGGCCCTAGGCTAGGTCTTCCCCTCACTAGGCCTCAGTTTCCTTCTCTGTAAGATGGGGATGATGACACCTACTGTATAGGGTTGCTGTGTGATTAAGACTGAGTAGGGGCCAGGAGGAGCTCCCTGAAGAGACCAGGAAGGACCAGCCCCCATGTGTGTGGAGTCAGCCCCAGGGAGGAGTCCAGGGTGGGGATGCCCAGGGGGACGTGGCCCTGAGGACACCCAGCAGGGCCTGGGTCAGGGGTTAGCTGGACAAGGGACAGGGCCCAATTTAGTGGACTACCAAGGGCAGAAGACCTGGGGTGTGGACTCCAGGATCAGGATAGTCTGGCACGAGGACACTGTCCAGCTAGGGCAGCTCCTGGGAGGCTCGTGGTAAGGACTAGAACGGCGCCTGTGATGGGGGCTGAGGCCCTGACCTGGGTCTCCCAGGGCATGAACCCTCAAGACTTTGGAATGGCCCCACTCTCTCTCTCCTGGGACCCCAGTTGTCCCCAGGCCATTACTCTGATGGCCAAACCCTCAGCGACCGAGAGACTGGTGGCCAGAAGCACTTAGACACCAATTTTTAGAAATGCCCTGTTTTCCTTCCGTCAGCGAGGCCCTGGCTGTGAGCCCCATGTGGAGTGGCCACTTTCACACCATCTGGGAATCGGCAGATGGGCCATCTCCACACGAGGCGGTCTGGAGGCTGAGCCAAGGAAGCCAGCAGCTTACCTCCTGCCTGGCAGGTGGGGGCCAGCTCCCAGTTGTGTTCAGAGCGGGGGCCAGGAAAGGCTTCCCAGAGCAGGAGACTGTCCCAGGAGACGAGCTGCCTCCCACCAGGTGTAGATGCAGGGAAAGCACTCCAGGCAGAGGGAACAGAGAGCCGAGGGATGAAGACGGAAAGGAAGCCAGAAAGCTCGGGGACGGACGGGGGCGCAGAGTGACCAAATGGCAGAAACTGGCCCTAGCTACAGAGGACCCTGATGCTGGGCCTAGGAGTCCATCCTCAGCCAGTGGAAGCCTGGAGAGGCCAGGACAGCCCTGAGGGAAGGCTGCGTGAAAGCCACAGGTTGGGGGCTGAAGAGAGGCGCTGAGAACTGCGCGGCCCCTCTGCTCCTCTGCCGACCTCGGGGGTCTCCCTCCCACCTTGGCCAGGCTGCTCTCTTGCCTACAGGGCCCTCCCTCCACCACATACACACACTTGTTAGGTCCTAATCCCCAACGTTACTGTCCCCACAGTGCGCCCTCCTGGCTAGAAGCTGGCAGAGCTTCCAGCTCTCCGCCTCCCCTTTCTACTGTGCAGTGTGTGCATTTACAGCATTATCGTTCTCGCTCGACTTCCTTGGTTTGATTTTGCACACATTTCCCGGGCACAGGCTGCCTGTCAGAGGCACAGGGATTAGACTCTTTTCCTGACTGTACAAGGGAAGAGTTGTGTAGACCCCACATTAGCAACAGGTCATGTCACATGCAACAGTTAGAATACATGTGGTGGGAACAGGGACAGATGGCCTGACTCTGGGAAGGAGAGAATCCTAGAAGGCTTCCTGGAAGAGGAGGCAGCTGAGCTAAAGATGGACAAAGAAGGGAAGGATGTGCCAGCAGGTGGGCAGTGTGTGCAAAGATTCAGAAGTGTGGAGCTTTGTCCGTCATTGCTGGGGCCCAGAGTGAAATGTATGTGGGGATGAGGGGACAGTGGTGGGGAGGAGATGGGGGCTGGCAGAGACCAGGCAGCACTGGTCCCAGCGTCCCTACCAACTGGATTCCTCCCCACCTCCACACAGAAGGGAGCTAGGTGAGGCTTTGTTGAGTGGGCAGTGGATGGACAGGTGAAGAAAGGGTGTGTGTAGCTGGCCCTTTGCAGACTCTGCAGGGGACCAGAAGGTCCCTGAGGGTCCCCACCCTCTGGACGCACCCTGGTGTAATTTGGCTTCTCTCCAGCCTTACTTTTGTCTGCAGAGGCTGCAGCAAGGCAGGAAGCTCAAAGAGCCTTCAAGGCTCTGCCAGTTACAAACGACAGGAACTCAATCCAAGTTGGCTTAATTAAGGAAAAATGAAAGTATTGATTAGCTCACAAACTGACATGTGCAGGGGTAGTTTCAGCTTCAGGCCGTCACCCCTGTCTTTCTCTGTCTCTCAGCTCTGCTTTCCTCTCTGTTGGCTTTTTCTCAAGCCACATGGTGGCCCCTGGGAGCTCCAGGCTTAGCCCTGTCAGGAGAAAAGAGCCCTTTTCCCCTAAATCCCCACCATTAAGTCCCAGGCAAGATGCTCATGGCTCGGTTTGGGTCTCAGGCTCATCGCTGACCCTGTCACCATGGCAGAGGGAATTCGGTCACATGCCGACCCCAGCAGCCCACCCAGACCCCATGGGTGGGGATTCTGAGCAGCAGACAACACACAGATGCCTTTTCCCTCCCCCTCCCCCAGCCCCAGGCCACATGGACTGAACCCAGACCCTGGGCTTGGACAGGCTTTGTTTTCTTGTTACTGAATAATGCACCTGGGTCCTAAGACTCAGAGGAGGTGCTGTCCCCATGTGTAACCTGTGTTCTCTCTCTCTCTCTTGTTTTCCAGGGACCCCTGGGTCTGGATGGCAAGCCCGTAAGTAATGACAGGGCAATTCCAGGCGGTCCTGGGCTGGGGCTGCCACTATGGAGCTGGGAGTGACCGCTGGGCACTGGAGGGAAGCAGCCACCGGGAACTTGGTTCAGCACAGAGAGGAGCATTTTGGGTGTCAAACTTGAGTTTAAGTCTAGCTCCACCATCTGCTGACAGTGACCAAGGGGAGGCCTCCTCACCTCCCAAGACTGAGGCTTCTTGTCTGTCAAGTGCATGCATGAACACCCCCCACCCCCAGCATAGGGATGCTGTGAGTCGATGGAGAACTGTGGACAGCACAGTCCCTGGGGTCTAGTCAGCCCTCAAAGCCTGTGAGGCCCTCCCAGCAGGCCCCAGGCACAGTGTCCTCACTACATTCTCAAGACTGCCCTGGTGGGCATCAAGCTGAGTTCTCAACATCTGCGCCAGGAGCCTGTGGTCCCAGGCATCCTCAACAGATGGGCAGAACATGCAGGGAGACATGAGCACAATTAAGTAAGTAATTTGAGGTGGATGGATGGATGACGGCTAGATAGATGGGTGGATGAATGGATTGGTGAGTGAATGCGTGGGTGGATGTAGGGATGGTCGGACAGTAAATGAATGGGTGGATGGGTGGGTGGGTGAGTGGATGGATGGATGAACGGATTGGTGAATGGCTAGGTGGGTGCATGGGTGGGTGGATGGATGGATGGATGGATGGATGACTCATACAGGGATGAACAGATGGAGCCCATACTCTAAGGAGCTCCTTCCATTAAAGAAGAGAATGCTTTTTTTGGAGAAATAAGAAAGAAAAAAGAAAAGAATTCCTCTGAGAGAGAATCTCTGTCTACTGCCTGCCTTGTAGATTCCAGAAAGATGGCAGTGGTCTCCCACTGACATGGACAGGGTGGGTGCTGAGCAGTAGGGGACCATGTGTGCCCTCTGGGAGGAGTGGCCAGTGCATGTGCCCCTTTCTCTGCTGCAAGGATGCCAGTGGGCCCTTGCTGGTCACCCCCAAGTCCCCCGTCTCCCTCAGGCTGAGGACTGAGGTGTGGAGCTTCCTTGGACCAGCCAGGGCAGCTCTCATTGAGGGCTGACAGCTCGTGGTGATTTTCCACTCAGCCGGCCGCGGGTCTGCTCAGCATCACAGGCCCTTCTGCCCTCAGAAGTATAGGGAAGCCGGAAGCGGGGCCAGCCTAGGCTCCTCACTCAGGCCTGTTCTTTCTCCGCTTTCCTTCTCTAGGGACTTCCCGGCCCAAAAGGGGAAAAGGTAAGTGATGCCAGAAGCTGTGCAGATGCAGTAGGCAGGTGAAGGAGGCCAGAAACCTGCGTCTGAACCCCAGCTCCAGTGTGCCCTCGAGCATGTCACAGCCCCTCCTAGAACCTCAGTTTCCCCATCTATAAAGCGGGAATCGCAATGCCTACCTTCTAAAATGGTTACAAGGCTTACATTTGACAATATAGCCTGCCCGGAGGGTTGAGTCAGTTCTCCTGGGACCAAAGCATAACCCAACTCAGAGGCCCAGTGTGCCCAGAATGATGAGTGTCCAGAGAACTTCATGGTGAAGAGGGGGTGCCAGGAGGGCTGGGGCATTGAACCATGGCTGTTAGTGGTATTCTCTGTGGGGAGGACACCCCTCAGGGATTCATGGCAGAGAGCTATCTCTGCGGCCCCTTGGGAGAAAGGCTTCCCTGGCATCAGGCACTGAAGTCCCCTGGAAAACGGGGACAGCCAAGTGCCTCAGAAGGGAACAGAAGAGACCTGTGTTACCCATGGTGAAAGCTGGGGAGGGATCAGAGCAGGCCTGGTTGTGCCAGGGCCAGCTGGGTGCTCCCACGGCTGGACCATGTCCACCCCTGACCCGGACTTTGGAAATGGAAGGTGAGATCTGCAGATGGGCCCTGCTGTGATTTGGCAGCTCAGGCCAGGGCAGGCAGGGTTCCCGCCCCATTACCCGGGCTGCGGGAGCTATGGGGAGGCATGGGAGCTGGTGTTCAGAACCTCAGCTTTCCAATCCAGCTCCACCACCAACTGTGTGGCCTTGGCCAAGTTGTTGGGCTCTGTGGGCCTCAGTTTCCCCATCTGTAAATTAAGACCCAATGTCACAGAGCCACAAGAGGGATTGCATGAGATCATGGTCTCAATGTTCTCCTCAAGGATGAGAGACTAGCACATTTGGTAGGTGGGTCCTGATTACCTTCCCCCGGCCTTGGCTGATGCCACCGTGTCATAGAAGTGATTCCATCAGGGGCTTTGAAACCAGAGAGAACTGGTGTCTTAGTGTCTATTGCTGCTTAATGCACTGCCCCAAAACTGGGCGGTGGAAAGCAACATTAACTCATTACTATCCCTTCTAGAGGACATGGTGGGAGGGGCTGTCTGCTCTACAACGTCTGGGGCCTCAAATGACCAGGGAACACCTGGTTTCAAGCCCTGGATCTCCTGGCTGTGTGACCTTGCGCAGGTTAAGTGGCCTCACTGTGTCTGTTTCCTCATTGGAAATGGAAATAAAAATAGAGCCTGCCTGCTATTTTCGTTAGAATTAAGTCAGCCCCTGTCTGTGAAGCACTGAGCACAGATGCTCGATGGGAAACGTGAAGAAATGATGAAAGCCGTGCTGCCACATCTCCCTGTCTCTTGTTCCTAGGGTGCAGCAGGAGACTTCGGCCCCCGGGTAAGAACCAGGCACGACCTCCCTCACTGCCCACACGGCTCGTTTTGTTTATAATAAGGCATAACTGGTGCTGCTTCTGGGACCCGGCTCCCTGCAGCTCATCACAGAAAGAGGCCATGAGGCAGCCCTTCTTCCCCACCCATAGCACCCAGGCACCTGGGCTGCGAGGCTGCCACCTCCTGGATGGGTGGAGAGTCTCTGGAAGACGTCCAGGTCTTCATGCTTCTCGCTGTGGATGCCAGACAGTGGGGCTGGCACTTGACCCAGACTGGAGACTGAGTGTCCTGAGGACAGATGGCACTCCAAAAAGGGGGAAGGCTCTGGGGTCAGCAGAACTGAGCTCAAAGCTCAGCTCTGCCACCTGCTAGCTGAGTGACCCTGAACAAGTCACTTTGCCCTCTGAGACTCAGTTTCTTCAACTGTGAGTGGGGGGCAGCCCCCACCCCAAGAGGTTGTTGTGGGAGTGAAAAGGTAGTGGGAGCAGCAGTGCAGAGTGGGGCTACAGCTGTGGTTCAGCCTGGGGGGGGGCGCCTGCCCTGCACCTCCACAGCCCTGAGTCGTGAGCAGGAACAGGGAAGGGGGCTGGCCAGGCCAAGCCCCGAGGACACAGCTGCTCTGTGCCAGCCACATAAATCTGATGAGATTGCTCTGCAGTCAAAGAAAGGGCGCTCGTGCTGAGTTTTGGCTGCTGAGAAAAATCCTTTTGTTTCCTTCTTGGTGGGTGTGTGGAGCTGATATTCCAAAAGGGGATGTCCTCTCCTCAACAGACTAGAAGTCCTGAGGCCCAGGGGTCATGGAAGAGTGGATCTCCTCCCAAGCCCCCCACCCTCCTCATGAATACCCTCCCTATGGTCCTGGTGTCCCAGTCATCAGGACACCACCCCCCAACACACACATACACAACACACACACACACACACGTTTAGTGGCTTAGTGGCTGGGCGTGGTGGCTCATGCCTGTAATCCCAACCATTTGAGAGATCGAGGCAGGCGGATCACCTGAGGTCAGGAGTTCGAGACCAGCCTGACCAACATGGTGAAACCCCATCTCTACTAAAGATACAAAAATTAGCTGGGCATGGTGGTGCATGCCTGTGGTCCCAGCTACTCTGGAGGCTGAGGCAAGAGAATTGCTTGAACCTGGGAGGCAGAGGTTGCAGTGAGCCGAGATCTCGCACCACTGCACTCTAGCCTGGGCAACAAGAGCGAGACGCCATCTCAAAAAAAAAAAAGGTAGTGGCTTAAGACTTCAATTGCCATTATCTCTCATGGCCCCTGGGTTAGGGTTAGGCTCCCTCAGGAGGTTGTAGGCAGCCGGGCTGGGAGCCCCCGGTGATGGTGCCATCACATGGCTGCAGGTGGTGTGGATGCTGGCGGGTGCCCAGCTGGTAAGCAGCCATCCTTGAAGAAGGAGTCTACACACCTGATGACCTAACTGCCTTTCTCTGGGCTTGGTTAAGTGGCTTTGCCTCCAGGTGTCAAAAGCCTTTTGGTTTTTGAAATCTCCTTCCTGCCTTTCTGACCACACAATGTATCTGCTGACTAGATGGTTTTCCCACGGCTCAATCCGGGTTTTATAAGTAGAGACCATCACCTGTACAATCGCCGGATCCTCAAGGTAGACTGGCTAAGTGGGGGTCTGGGCCTGATGGCTTGCTGTGTTGCCCCCAACTCACCCCACATTTGCAGGGTTAGACCTCAGCTATCCAATCCCTGAGGGAGGACCAGGCAGGCTGGGCAAGAAAGAGCCCAAGAGCCTCTGCCAGGACCTGCTCCAGTGTCGGGCCCATTTACTGCTTTAATAAGTAGAGTCCAGGCCAGTAGTTCCCAGCCCAAGGCCCATTATAAAAGGAGCAGTGGGGAGCTAAGGGGGTATCTTCAAATTCTACATGATTCAGTGCAAAGTAAAACAGGAATTACCCACCACCATCACCACCCATGCCTGGTGACCTAACCAGACTGTCAGTTTTCTTGCCTTTTGAATGGAGCTATAACATTTTGATCAGGACCCTGCCCATTCCAGACCCACGGGAAGACCTGAGTGGTGGGTGTTGAGACCTTCTGCTGATTTTTTAACTGGGAAAGCAAGGGAATTTGTGTTACGTGCAGTTTGCTAAAGAGGTGAGCTATTTCAGATCAGGGTACATCTGAGGATGAAAAGAAGTATCTGAAAGGGACCATTTGCCTTGGCAGTGAGAGGAAGCTCTGCCTTCCCTAGCTCTGTAACCCTGGGCAAGTGACCCTCTGATCACCCCCCAACCCCAGCCATTCCATCTGTAAAATGGGACAATAACAGTGCCCTGGCCCATTCATCACAAAGGTTGAATAAGATCATCTTCGGCCAGGCGCGGTGGCTCACACCTGTAATCCCAGCACTTTAGGAGGCCAAGGCGGGTGGCTCACTTGAGGTCAGGAGTCTGAAACAAGCCTGGCCAACGTGGTGAAACCCCATCTGTACTCAAAATACAAATAATAATAATAATAACCCCACCTACTCAGGAGGCTGAGGCAGGAGAATCCATTGAACCCAGGAGGTGGAGATTGCAGTGAGCCAAGATTGTGCCACTGCACTCCAGCCCAGGCGACAGAGCAAGAGACTCTCTTCAATTTTAAAAAAAAAAATTTTTTTTTAAATTATCTTCAGGATATCCTTGCTAGCTTAGTGCTAGGTCTTCCTTTCTTTGTTATAAGAAGGTTGGGATCCACTGGCACCATGACCTGGTGTTCTTCACTCCTGTGCTCTGTGCCAGTGCAGGGTAGGCCCCGCTGGGCAGTGGTAGGTGGCAGTCACAGTGATCTTCCTTCGTTTTGGGTTGGGCCATGAGGTGGGGCTCTGGCTGCCTGAGGTCTGACCCAGTACTAACATCAGGTTCTAAAGGTGGGGATTTAGTGCTGCATGAGAGAAACTGTGTGGCCCTTCATCATCCTTTTTTTTTTCTTTTATTTTGAGATAATTGTAGATTTACATGTAGTTGTAGTAAATAACACCTGTGTCCCCTTCATCCAGTCTCCCCCAATGGTAACATCTTGCATCTCTGTAGTACAGTCTCACAATAGGAAATTAACATTGACACGATCCACCAACCTTATTCAGATGCCCCCAGCTATACACACACTTGTTTGTGTATTTAGTTCTATGCAATTTTAACACACTTGTCGATTTGTGTAAGTACACAAAGGTCCCTCATGCTGTTCTTTTGTAGTTGCAGTCACCTTCATCCCCCCATCCCTAATGCCTGGCAACCATTGTGGGTTCTCCATCTCTATAATTTTGCCATTTCATGAGTGTTAAGTAGATACAACCACACAATATTAAGCTTTTGAGATGGACTTTTTTCACTCAGCGTAATCCTCCTGAGATGCATCTGAGGTGCTGCATGTGTCATGGCCTGTTCCTTTTGGTTGATTGCTGAGTTGTGTTCCATGATGTGGATGTACCCCAGCTCCTTAACCTTCCACCTACTGAAAGACTTTTGGATTGGTTTCCAGTTTGGAGCTGTTACTAATTAAGCAGCTGTGAACAAGGATAAATGCCCAAGAGTGCACCTCCATACTTAAAATGAAGTGGGAGTTGACCAACCAGGAAGGTCCTTCAGGAGACACTCAGTCCCCTTCTACAAAGGGGGGCAGCTGGGCACACGTGCTTTCTCCCACATCTAGCGTGTGCCATCTCTTGCCTAAACACCGTATCTGGGCTCTCAGGTGCCAGAGAGCTGGCACACGGCATGTAAAAAATCCTGTAGGGCCTCTTACACCAAGGTAAGGGGACCTGTTCCTTCATGTGGTCCCCAAGAAGTGGCAAGAGGCCCAATAACAATGCCTTCCCCTTTGAGCCTGCCCCAAGGGCTGGGGAAGGGGATGGTGTGGGGCTGCCTGTCTGAGGGAGCTTCTATCTGGAGGGTGGACCACCTCCCACTCAGAGTCATGCCAAGCCCCATTTCTTCCAGGGAGACCAAGGACAAGATGGAGCTGCTGGGCCCCCAGGGCCCCCTGGACCTCCTGGGGCCCGGGGCCCTCCTGGTGACACTGGGAAAGATGGCCCCAGGGGAGCACAAGGCCCAGCGGTAAGAGAGGGCTTGGAGTTGGACCACCCAGGACTTGATCAAAACCTCAAACCCTGATTCCAGCCCCAGCCCCAGCCCCAGCCCCATCTCTAGTGCAGACCCCACGCCAGCCTTAACCCCAATCCAGACACTGAACCAGGGCCCTAACTCCAACCAAGATCCAACCCCAATTCAGATCCTGCCGCTGACCCCAGACCCAAACCCAACCCTAACATCAACCCAGACCCTTACCCCAATGGAACCTTAAATCTGACACTAACTGGGTCTCTGACCCCAATCAAGACCTTGACTTCAAACTCATTGCCAAATCCTGATCTACACCCCCAATTCAGACCCTAAGTCTGACCCCTACGGACTCTGACCCTGACTCCAAGCCCAACTCTAACCTCAAATAGACCCAGAGACTGTAACCTGACCTTAGTTGCAATCCCAGTCTCAATCCTGACTCGACCCTGAGCCTGAGATGGTTATGCGGGCACTGTCTCTGCAGACCTTTATCAGCACCCCACTCCTTCTCCCCAGTAGTATCTCAGCCTCAGCTTTCCTCCCAGGGTCTCCAGAGCCTGGAGGCCAGGCCCCATCCTGCCACCCCTTTCCCTAACCCAGAAACTCCAGCCTGTGCTTCCCTCTAGTGTGGAGCCCACACCACCACCAGACTGCCACCAGGGTCCCCCCCAGTCAGATGGGTCCCCCCACCACACTGCTGCCAGGTCCCCCCAGGACAGTTGCTCAGTTGGCTCATCCATTGCTTGTCATGCCAGGCCAGTGGCTTCCCGAGCCTAACATTCTCATCTGAGGACTAGGGACAGTGATACCCGCTCTTCTGGTTTGGCAAGGATAAAATGAAATAATGGAGAGAGATCAAAGATGGCTGATCACTAGCTGCTTGGGATTGTAGCTCCCAGTGAAAGCGCAGAGAACGAGAGGACGCCACACTTTCAGATGAATTTTTTTTGCTCACGCACCAGGAGATTCCCAGTGGAGGAGCCCCATGGGTTGCCAGCGCTTGTGGCCGGTGAGGCGGTTTTGCCGTTGCCTTGGTGCGGCGGTTCTTGGTGCAGAGTCAGAAAAGCACCATCAATCATAATGCCGCTGTTTTGGCTGGTGCAGTGGGTTGCTCAGATTTTAGCGCTGGGAATCAACAAGTTGGACGTCCACTCAGAAACCCAATTATAACGATGGTAATTATAAAGACCACAGATGGATACATCTATAACGAAGGGAAGAAAACAGCCTAAAAAGGCTGAGAATACCCAAAATCAGAACGCCTCTCCCTCTACAGGGGATCACAGTTCCTCATCAGCAACGGAACAAGGCCTGATGGAGAACGAGTGTGTTCCATTAACAGAAGCAGGCTTCAAAAGGTGGATGATAAGAAACTTCTGTGAGTTAAAAGAACTTGTTCTAATCCAATGCAAAGAAACTAAGAACTTAGAAAAAAAGTTTGACGAAATGTTAACAAGAATACACAATTTAGAGAGGAATATAAGTGAATTAATGGATCTGAAAAACACAACACGAGAACTTTGCAAACTATGCACAAGTTTTAACAGCTGAATCAATCAAGCAGAAGAAAAGATATCAGAGGTCGAAGACCAACTTAATGAAATAAAATGAGAAGACAAGATTAGAGAAAAAAGGATAAAAAGGAACGAGCAAAGTCTTCAAGAAATATGGGACTATGTGAAAAGACCTAATCTACGCTTGATAGGTGTACCTGAATGTGACGAAGAGAATCAATCCAAGCTGGAAAATACGCTTCAGAATATTATTCAGGAAAACTTTCCCAACCTAGCAAGGCAGAACAATATTCAACTCCAGGTAATACAAAGAACACCACAAAGATATTCCTCAAGAAGACCAACCTCAAGGCACATAATTGCCAGATTCACCAGGGTTGAAATGAAGGAGAAGATACTGAGGGCAGCCAGAGAGAAAGGTCCGGTTACCCATAAAGGGAAGTCTATCAGACTCACAGCAGATCTCTCAGCAGAAACCCTACAAGCTAGAAGAGAGTGGGGGCCAATATTCAACATCCTTAAAGAAAAGAGCTTTCAACCCAGAATTTTACATCCAGCCAAACTGAGCTTCATAAGTGAAGGAAAAATAAAATCTTTTGTGAACAAGCAAGCACTCAGAGATTTCATCACCACCAGGCCTGCTTTACAAGAGCTTCTGAAAGAACCACTACACATAGAAAGGAACAACCAGTATCAGCCTTTCTAAAAAATACCAAAAAGTAAAGAGCATCAATATAATCAAGAATTTACATCAACTAATAGGCAAAACAGCCAGCTAACATTAAATGGCAGTATTAAACTCACATATATTATTATTAATTCTAAGTTTAAATCGACTAAATCCCCCAATCCAAAGACACAGACAGGCAAAAAAAGCCAAGACCCATCGGTATGCTGCATCCAGACCCATCTCACATGCAAGGATACACAAAGACTCAAAACAAAGGGATGGAGAAAGATTTACCAACCAAATGGAGAGCAAAAATAAATAAATAAATAAAAAGGAGTTGCTTTAAAGCAACAAAGATCAAAAGAAGCAAAGAAGGATATTACATAATGATAAAAGGATCAATGCAACAAGAAGAGCTAAAGATCCTAAATATATACGCACCCAATACAGGAATACCCAGATATACAAGACTTATAAAGAGACTTAGACTCCCACACAATAATAGTGGGAGACTTCAACATCAATATTAGACGGATCAATGAGACAGAAAATTAACAATGATATCCAGGATTTGAACTCAGATCCGGAACAAGTAAACTTAATTAACATTTATAGAACTCTCCACTTTAAATACACAAAATATACACTCTTATCAGTACCACATCACATCTATCTACAGGTTTCAATGAAATATTGGTTGGCTGCTTGTTTGTTATTTTCTTCCCTCATTTTTTTTTTCATGTCTCTATTATTAAGCACAATTATAGGCATACCCATTTTTAGACTGCATTCTAGCCCAGGCAATAAAGCAACACCCCGGTTCTTTCTCCCTCTTCCTCTTTCTCTTTCTTCCTCTCCTTCATTCTTTTTTTTTTTAATTATTTCTTTCTTTCTTTCTTTCTTTCTCTTTCTTTCTTTCTTTAAAAAAAAAAAAAATGAAATAAGGTACTTAGAGCCCCAGCCCGGGGTCTGGCCTGAGATTTGGGCTCAGTTCAGGGTGACAACCTGCATCCCTCACTACTGTCCCCTTCTACTTCCTCAGGGCCCCAAAGGAGAGCCGGGACAAGATGGCGAGATGGTCAGTATTCAGGGCATTCCAGAGGCCTGGGCTGGTAGGACTGTGGTTCCCAGACCTGGTAGCCCCCCTCCCACACACGCTGACAGCAGGGTCATGTGTGTGTGTGTGTGTGTGTGTGTGTGTGTGTATGCATGCACGAACCTCTGCGTGCACATGTCTGCATGTGTGTGCACCCCTGTGCACCTGCCCCTCCCGCCACCAGGCAAGGCACCAGCCCAGGCGGAATTCCAGTATCTCCACATTCCTGTGCAGAGACCACAGTCCACTTGCCACCGCGTGAGCCCTAACGCAGAAGCTGTCCCAGGCTTGAGGAGTCAGGCCCAGGGTGGCAGCTCCAGCCTGCTTCTGACAGCAACCCTGCCTCCTGCTCTCCAGGATTGGTGTCCCCTTTTACAAAGCCAGGATGCTAAGAAGGACAGGCCCAGGAACAGCCTCCAGTATGACATTTAACACCTTCTCTTCTCTTGTTCCAGGGCCAGAAGGGATCCCCAGGGCCCAAGGTGAGTGTTCCTCATTCCCCATGCCCCTCCCCAGATCTTGTGGGATGGATTCCGCCACGACCACTTCCTTTCCCTTGCCCCCCACACCCCTAATGAAGCCAAGGCAGCAGGGTCAGGACACCAAATTCCCAGACCTTGGGCAAGTTACTGCATCTCTCTGCACCTCAGTTTACTCATCTGTCTTTTTTACACAGTTGAAAGGGTTGAATCATAAAACATGTTAGGAGGGTTTTTAGTTTCAAATGGATTTTCCTTTATTTTTTATTTTTTCGAGACAGAGTCTCACTGTGGCCCAGGCTGGAATGCAGTAGCACGATCATGGCTCACTGCAACCTTCACCACCTGAGTTCAAGCAATTCTGCCTCAGCCTCCCAAGGAGCTGGGACTGCAGGCATGCGCCACCACACCAGGGTAATTTTTCGTATTTTTAGGAGAGATGGGGTTTGACATGTTGGCCAGGCTGGTCTTGAACTCCTGACCTCAGGTGATCTGCCTGCACTCCAGCCTCTGGGATTACAGGTATGAGCCACCACACCTGGCCCAAACAGATTCTATTTTTAGAAGAATTTTTGTTTCACAACAAAACTGAACAGAAAGTACAGAGTTTCCATATGCCCCTACCCTGGCCCATGCACCCCCTCCCCTGCTATGAACAGCCCCAACTTGTTACAGCTGATGCGCCTGCACAGGCAGATCGCCACCACCAGATGCCGTAGTTTACATTAGGATTCACTCTTGCTGTGGTATCCACCACTGTCGTGTCATGGAGTATTTACCCCGCTCTAAACATTGTTATCTGCGTAAACAACCCTCCTTCCTAGCCTCTGACACCACTGATCTCTTTTCTTTTTTTTTTGAGATGGAGTCTTGGCATTTGTTGCCCAGGCTGGATTGCAGTGGTGCGATCTCAGCTCACTGCAACCTCCACCTCCCAGGTTCAAGCAATTCTCCTGCCTCAGCCTCCCAAGCAGCTGGGAGTACAGGTGCCCACCACCACGCCCAGCTAATTTTGTATTTTTAGTAGAGAGAGGGTTTCACCATGTTGGTCATGGCTGGTCTCGAACTCCTGACCTCAGGTTATCCATTCACTTCAGCCTTCCAAAGTGCTGGGATTAGAGGCATGAGACGCCACGCCCGGCCACCACTGATTTTTTTTCACTGTCTCCATAGTTTTGCCTTTCCCAGAGTGTCATCTAGTCAGAATCACACAGTGAGTGGCCTTTTCAGATCAGCTTCTTTCACTGAGTAATACACATTGACATTTCCTCCATGTCTTTTCATGGCTTGACAGCTCATTCCTTTTTAGCACTGAATAATAGTCCATGTCTGGCCTGGCACGGTGGCTCATGCCTATAATCCCAGCACTTTGGGAGGCTAAGGCAGGCAGATCACGAGGTCAGGAGTTGGAGACCAGCCTGGCCAATATGGCAAAACCTGGTCTCTATTAAAAATGCAATAATTAGCCGGGTGTGGTGGCACACGCCTGTAGTCCCAGCTACTTGGGAGACTGAGGCAGGAGAATCACCTGAACCGGGGAGGTGGAGGTTGCTCGTGAGGTTGCAGTGAGCCAAGATCGTGCCGCTGCATTCCAGCCTGGGTGACAGAGCAAGACTTCGTCTCAATTGTCGGTGTCTGGATTTATTATTTATTTAATGATCAGCCACAGTTTATTTACCCACTCACCTACTGAAGGACAGGTTCACTGCTTCCAGGTTTTGGCAGTTTTGGGTAAAGATGCTGTCAACATCCATGTGCAGGTTTTCATGTGGATGTAGTTTTCCACCATGTTAGCTTGTCCAGCCCTCTGCAGATGTCAGCTCTTTCTTTTCTGCCCTCCTTGGGCAGGGCCTGGGTGGGGAAGCAGACTGTGGTCCTCCCTGCCAGAGATGGAGCCCCTGGCCTGAGGAGGCAGAATGGGAAAGAGCTTGCTTACCCAGTGCCTCATCCACCAAAACCCTCTGGGACTGCAGGAGTCACCACCCCACTTTGAAGAAGAGTGCCTTGCCCAGGGTTGTTGAGCTTGGGAGTGAGTGGCTCAGAAGTGGAATTCAAGACTGTCATCCCCACCTTTCTGAAGCATTCAGGCATCTCTGGGCTGGCCCTAGGCATGGGTCATCAGTGCCACTTCTATCAGAGGAACAAGAGACCTGGGGTCCGGGCCATGCTCCTATGGCTCTGACCTTGCTCTTGAACCCCCATTGCCTCCCCCAGGGTGAGCCTGGAGCACCTGGAAAGAAGGTGAGAGGGACCGATGGAGGAGCTTCCGGGGCAGTGTTGGGCAGTGGCTGGAGAGAAGGGCAGAGGCTGAGAGCGGGTTGGGGATACGAATGGGAGCCAACCCACAGGGAAGATGGCCTTTTCTTCACCAGACCTGGGCCCTCACTGTGGGTGGCTGCCCTGTCCTTGCTCTCCGTGAGGCCAGAATTCATTTTATTCATTCATTTATTCACTCATTATTTCCCCTCCTCAAACACATCAAATTCATGCCCACTTCAGGGCTGGGGGCATTAGTTCTCAAAGTGTGGTCCTGGGGCCTACCCTGGACCCACTGAATCAGAGACTATGGGGTGGGGCTGGAGTTCGTTTGACCAGATGCTGGTGCCACTGATGTGAGCTCAAGCTTGAAACCATTGAATGAGCATGATCTTCCCCGGCCTCTTCTCCTGCGCCAGCCTCCTCATTCACCTCATTCAGGTCTCAGTAAAACCCTCACCCAAGGCCAGCAGGTGCACTGGCTCACCCCTGCAATCCCAGCACTTTGGGAGGCCAAGGCGGAAGGATCACTTGAGATCAGGAGTTCAAGACCAGCCTGGTCAACATGGCGAAACCTCGTCTCTACAAAAAATAAGGAAACAAATAAGCCAGGTGTGGTGGTAAGCACCTGTAAGCCCAGCTACCCTGGAGGCTGAGGCAGGAGAATCACTTGAACCCGGGAGGTGGAGGTTGCAGTGAGCCAAGATCGGGCCACTGCACTCCATCCTGCTGGGTGACAGGGTGAGACTCATCTCCAAAAAAAAGAAGACCAGCCTGGGCAATACAGCAAGACCTCACCTCTACTAAAAATCAAAAAAATGAGCCAGGTGCAGTGGCATGCATCTGTAGTCCCAGCTACTTGGAAGGCTGAGGTGGGAGGATCGATTGATCCCAGAAGTCAAGGCTGCAGTAAGCTATGATTGTGCCACTGCACTCCAGCCTGGATAACAGAGCGAGACCCTGTCTCAAAAAACAAAAAAACCTCTCCCATCTTCCAGGAGACTTTCCCCGGCCACCTGCTGAAACAAGCCCTCCCTGTAGCCCCTCTCCGCCATTCCATCCTCTTCTCTTATTTGCATGTATATATGCTTTTTAGGACAGGATCTCACTCAAGCTGTGATGGATGCAGTGGCACAATCACAGCTCCCTGCAGCCTCAGGCGGTTCTGCCACCTCAGCCTCTCAAATAGCTGGGACTACAGGCATATGCTACCATGCCCAGCTAGTTTTTTTATTTTCCAGTTTTTGTACAGATGGAGTCTTGTTCTGTTGCCCAGGCTGGAGCGTAGTGGCTATTCACAGGTGCTATCATGGTGCACTACAGCCTCAAACTCCTAGGCTCAAGCAGTCTTCCCACCTTGGCCTACCAGAGTGCTGGGAGTAAGGCATGGGCCACTGTGCCAGGCAACTTTGTAATTATTTGAAGATTTCTTTTCCCTCAGCCTCCTCTGACTCCACCTGAGCAGGGACCTCAGCTGCCAGGCCCACAAGGAGAATGAATGGATGAATGTCCCTCATTCACTGTCCATCCGTTCTTTCTGCAAATGCCTGTTGAGGCTTGCCCTGGACCGGCCCTGGGCTGGTGGGGACAGGGGACACACACAGATGGGTCCCTACCCCACCCCTGCTCTAGAGGGGCAAGGAGGGTAGGGAGGAGCTGCCTGGTACAGTGTGCTAGTGCAGGTGCCAGGAGCAGACTGGTGTGTTGGGAAGTGCAGAGGACGGAGGGGCCCACTGGCCACCTGAGGGTCTGACCGGCAAGCCCCAGCTGTCCTCTCCTCAGGGTGATGACGGGACACCAAGCCAGCCTGGACCACGAGGACTCCCTGGACCACCAGGGCCCAAGGTGAATATCTGCCCCTCCCCTCGCGGCCCCCTGCCCCACCTCCCGTGGTTCCCATCTTCCTGGTGAAGCCCCTACCCTGGACCTTTGGCACCATGGGGGCCTGGGCCACTGCCTGGCACAGGCCAGAGAGAGGCAGAGGAAGGCCCCAGCCCCACTCCATAACAGGCCTGGTGTCTCACCCAGGCCGTGTGCCTCCCTCACCTCAAGTCCTCTTGTTTCCATCTCAGGGGGCCTCGCTCTGCCCTGTCTCCAAGCCAGGAACTGGGTATCATCCTCACACCTTGCTCCCCCAACCCCTCGCAACGGCCACCAAATCCTGGCCAGCCAATCTCCAAAATGTCCCTTGAGCCCCTGAGCTGCCCCAAGTAAGTGCCAAGACCCACACCAGAAGGTGGTGGCCATGGTCCTGAATCCTCTGGGCTGGGGAGAGCCCTTCGGTCCATTGCCAAACCCCCCATGGACTCAGTAACGTTCCCCAGGAGGCCTAATCGCAAGGCTCCAGGCAGCCCCAAGTTCCCCCCACCACGTGCCGTCTCACACTTGCTCTCACTGCAACTGTTTCTATTTCAGGGTGAGCCAGGGAGCATGGGGCCTCAGGGAGAGAATGGCGTGGACGGTGCCCCAGGACCAAAGGTGACGTGAGAGCTTGCTGCTCTGGCGCCTGCAGGCCCCACTCAGACCGTCACCCAGTCAGGAGTGGGAGATGTGGTTTCACATTTTTCTAATTTCCCATTTTAAGTGAGGAGTCCCAGGAGGGCCTAACCTGGGGTCTCCTTCAGCATTGTCAGAAGCTGGTATGGGGGCAGCGGTGGTGAATCTGGGTGAGTGGCAAGGCCTCCACTGGGGCCCAGCTTCGTGGCCAACTCACCGTGTAGCCTCAGGCTCCTGGACACCAGCGTGTCCTATACACTCGGTCCTATACAAAGCGATGTCAGAGGAGGATCTCGGAGGCCCCTCTAGGAGCCCCATTCATGGGGTGCTGTTCTCATACATTCGGCTCTTAGGGCTCCAGCACTTGGGCCCTGGGCCCTCCTGGGATGAGGGACTGCAGACAGGGTCATGGGAGCATGTTTTGGCTTCACACCTGCACCTCTGGCTGCAACTGCGTGTCTCCACAGGGGGAGCCTGGCCACCGAGGTGCGGACGGAGCTGCAGGGCCCCGGGTAAGCCACCATCTCTCAGGCAAGGCCTCAGGGATAGGATCCAGTGTGCAGTGTGAGCATGCAGTGTGAGTGTGCAGGGGTCCCGTAGCTTCAGAAGTCCCTGTCCCCACAGAGACCCCAGAGGACCCTGGAGCTACAGGAACTGGGAGTATTTTACTTTTTTAAATAATTTATTAGTGATTTTTGGAAATTCATAATAAATGCTTTTTTGAATAAAACGCTCAAATAAGGAGGTATAAAAATAAGAGTCTTGACTTGCTATTATGAAGCCAGATCTCTCTCGGTCTCCTCATGAGCACATGCCCATCTAAACTCCTTCTTTATATATTCAGTCACAGGTCCTCTGTTGTCCTACGCCTGATCCTACCGCGGTGAGCGGGGCCTTGCCTTTTCCCCACCCCACAGGGAGGTTTGTCCCTGCCTGCAGAAGCACAGCACTCCAGCCCACTCCAGATCTTTTGTAACCAGCCCCTATCAACATGCCTTACCTTTAGGGTGACATCCGGGATCCTGGCCTCAGCTCTGTCCCCTCATGCTCCCAGAAGCTGACTTCTTCCTCCAAAAAAATGGATCTGAGCCCCTGCCTGGCTACGCAGGCAGTGGAGAGCTAGAGGGGGTTGGATTAGGCCACCAGTGAGTCAGGCAGTTCTGGGCAGGCTATGACCAGGAGGGGGCTGCAAATGAGGCCCGGGTAAGGGTCTCTACCCTGCACAATGGGTTGGCTTGGGCCCGAACCAAAGTGCTCCCAGCAAAAAGCAGCCTGCGTGGGGAAGTGAGGTTCACAATGGAAGGGCTGGCCAGTGGCCATGCATGCAGTGTGAACGTGCAGTATGAGTGTACAGTGAGCATGCAGTGGGAGTGTGCAGTACAGTGTAAGCCTGCAGTATGAGTGTGTAGTGTGTGTGCAGCAAGCACGCAGTGAGAGTGTGCAGTGTGAGTGTGTAGTGTGTGCAGTGAGCGTGCAGTGGGAGTGTGCAGTACAGTGTAAGCCTGCAGTGTGAGTGTGCAGTTTGAGCGTGCAGTGTGTGTGCAGTGAGCATGCAGTGAGAGTGTGCAGTGTGAGTGTGCAGTGTAAGCATGCAGTGTGAGTGTGCAGTGTGAAGTGACAGCATACAGTGTGAGCGTGCAGTGTGAGCATGCAGTGTGTGTGCAGTGTGAGCATGTAGTGTGAGCATGCAGTGTGTGTGTGCAGTGTGTGTGTGCAGTGTGAGCATGCAGTGAGAGTGTGCAGTGTGAGCATGCAGTGTGAGCGTGCAGTGTTAACATGCAGCATGGGCACGGGCATGCTTACATGCGCCTGTAACCAGGCAGGAATAGGCTGTGGGTGCATGGTGTGTGCAGCCTTTACCAGAGGCTGGGAAATAGAGGCACCAGGGCCTGATCCAGCCTGCTTATGTCTTTGTGTTTTGGAGGCTTTGGGGTTTTTCTGTTTGTTGCCAACATTTAAAAATCTGAAGAACGTTACATCAAAATCAGACTTTCCGGGTGGGCACGGTGGCTCACGCCTGTAATCCCAGCACTTTGGGAGTCCAAGATGGGTGGATCACAAGGTCAAGAGATTGAGACTATCCTGGCCAACATAGTGAAACCGCATCTCTACTAAAATACAAAAATTAGCCGGGCGTGGTAGCGCATGCCTGTAGTCCCAGCTACTCGGGAGGCTGAGGCAGGAGAATTGCTTGAAACCAGGAGGCAGAAGTTGCAGTGAGCCGAGATCGCGCCACTGCACTCCAGCCTGGTGCCTGGCAAAAGAGCAAGACTCTGTCTCGAAGAAAAAAAATCACTCATGTTCAAAATCAGGCTTTCCATTTTCCCCTGATAATGCAGGGATCAGGCCTGAATGCCCACATGGAGGCAATTACAGCTGCCCCCAGACCAGGCCGAAACAGGTCCCTCAGCTGGCCCCAGGGCCTGCCTCCCCTTCCCTCCCTTGCTGGGACCCACACTGGGGAGGGGCATGCGTGTGGCCTGGGTGACAAGGTTCTCCCATTGCTTCCTCTCTGGGTATGATGCAGGGACAGCTGCCACTTCACCCCCCAATTTAGGTCTTCCCTGAAATTATTATTCTTCTTCCTGCCTCAGGGCGCCACAGGCCTCAAGGGAGAGCAGGGAGACACAGTGGTGATCGACTATGACGGCAGAATCTTGGATGCCCTCAAGGTAGTGTCCCTGGTGGGACCAGGATGTGCCTTAGATGTTCTTTTCCTTAGGGAATAATCACTCCCTTTGTGAGTAATCCTGCACTTTTTTACACAAGGGACTAGAGGCAGCTTAGCACAAAGACCCCAAAGTTATTAGGTGCCCAATGTTGAAATCAGGGCTGTGTTGAGACTGCATCAGAGAGGCACGGTGAATATGGCTCATGTGGCCCCAAGCTCCCCAGAGGCCAAGTCAAAAAGGGAAGCTCCCCGCTCAGGGCAAGAGGCAGAGCATTTCCTGGGGTCTGGTCCCAGCACTGTCTCCTGGGACCTTCCCAGAGGACACTGGCTGGAGAGCTAGGTCTTCTAATGATGTCATGGGGAGGATGAGAGTGACAAGCCCTGCCTTGGAGCCTTGGGAGATGTGTGACCTCTGAGCCCAGTTGCTGGTAAACTTGGGACTCACCACCAGTGGAGAGAGGCACTAGGTGCCAGCTGCTCGTGGGTACACCGGAAGGGAAGTGGGTGAGGAAGGGGTGGTCACCAGAGACCAGACTGGGCAGGGGCCCCTGGCCCTACCTGAGCATCATTCCCAGTTATCTCCCACAGGCCTTGGGGAAGAACAAGTTGACAGTAACTGTGGCACCCACCCCAGGCCTGCATGGTGTGGTGTGTGGCGTGGCATGGCCCAAAGGGCAGGCACATGCATGGTGTATCCCAGGCTGACCCAGCCTTATGGGAGAAGCCCTATGAGTGCAGGGAGTTGGGGGATGGACTTTGTTTGGTTTTTGTTTTTGAGACAGAGTTTCACTCTTACCACCCAGGCTGGGCATGATCTCGGCTCACCACAACCTACTCCTCCTGGGTTCAGGTAATTCTGCCTCAGCCTCCAAGTAGCTACGACTACAGGCATGCACCACCACACCAAGCTAATTTTTTTATTTTTAGTAGAGACAGGTTTCACCATGTTGGTCAGGCTGGTCTCAAACTCCTGATCTCAAGTGATCCACCCGCCTTGGCCTCCCAAAGTGCTGGGATTACAGGTGTGAGTCACCTTGCCCAGCCAGAGATGGGCTTTGGATACCAGACTGAGATGCTGACTCAATTTGATGGGCAGCAGCCAGCCATAGTCCATGCAGGGGATGATGTTAAAAAATAAAAATAAGGCCGAGAGTGGTGGCTTACTCCTGTAATCTCAGCACTGTGGGAGGCCAAGGCGGGCAGATCATGAGGTCAGGAGATCGAGACCATCCTGGCCAACATGGTGAAACTCTGTCTCTACTAAATATACAAAAATTAGCTGGGTGTGGTGGCGTGCACCTGTAATCCCACCTACTCCAGAGGCTGAGGCAGGAGAGGCACTTGAATCCAGGAGGCAGAGGTTGCAATGAGCCGAGATTACACCACTGCACTCCAGCCTGGCAACAGAGCAAGAATCCGTCTCAAAAAATAATGATAATAAAAAATAAAAAATAATTTAAAAAAATAAATAAAAACATATTAGGGGAAGGCTAGCTGAGGAATGGTATGGACATGTGTTGGGGGGGGCAGGCAGCAAGGGGCCCCTAGGCAGAGAGGTCCTGGGCCTGGGCCTAGAGGAGGGTGGATAAGATGGAGGCCAGGAACATCTCAATGGGACACCAACAAGAAGCGGGCAGGATGGGGAGGTGGGAGGGGAGAGACCTAGAACTTGTCAGTCACGGGCTGCGCAGGGTGCAGTTTTTTGGAAGGGAGGGGAGGAAAGTGTAGAGGCTCAGCAAGGGGCAAGCTGAGCCCCGGTGGCAGGCAGCCTGTGGAAAGCCTGGGTAGGGACAGAAGTTTGGGATTGGGGTCAGACCTGAAACCCTGGAGACCTCACCCCTACCTGTGAGACTGAGGAACTCCCCAGGCCAGCAGATGGCAGGCAGTGGAGCCAGAGCATCAGAGAGCTCATAGGACAGTCAAGAGAGGGTGGTGCCGGGCCACCACTGGGGAAGTCATTCTTGGCAGGCTTGAATGCTCGCAGGGGATTTAAGTTTGCTTCAAGAGGCAATAGGGAGCCAACGTAAGATCTTGAGCAGGGGAACATCATGAAGAAATCTGTACTGGGGAGACTGGCTCTGAGGGCAGAGGGCCCTTCATGGCAGCAGACACTGGTTTCTTGTCAAATGCTGGGTGCCATCTCCTGGCCTCCCCCACAATTGAGAGGCCAGATGAAGCAATGCACAGTGTGGCCTTTGACTGGGGAAGACGCAGCCCCCGAGGACCCTGTCCCTGCTCAGCTCAGCTGGACACGGACTTGGTTCCAGGTGGTGAGCTGGGCGGGCAGTGAGGGGAGGCCCTGCGTAACCACTGACTGGCTTCACTTTCACACACAGGGGCCTCCCGGGCCACAGGGGCCCCCAGGGCCACCAGGGATCCCTGGAGCCAAGGTCAGTGCAGATGTAGCTATGCAGTCCCCCAAGCATTTGTCTCCAGGGCCCACCTCCCGTCTCCTGTCTGCTCTGTGACCCTCTTCCACTTCCCTCCTGGTGTCCTGTCCTGGCTTCTAAGGGCTCAGAGAAAGGGGCTGGGCTCCCAGGCTGAGTGCCTTCTTCCTGTGCCCTTTCTACTCTGGGAGATTTCCCTAGGAAGCCTCATTCATACGTTTAAACTGAAAAATCATGCAGCTGTAAAACGGAATGAAAGCATGTCCTTTACAGCACATGGATGCAGCTGGAGGCCATTATCCTAAGTGAATTAATATAGAAAATAAAACCGGCTGGATACAGTGGCTCACGCCTGTAATCCCAGCACTCTGGGAGGTCAAGGGGGTGGATCACCTGAGGTCAGGAGTTTGAGACCAACCTGACAAACATGGTGAAACCCCATCGCTACTAAAAATACAAAAAATTAGCTGGGCATGGCAGTGGGCACCTGTAATCCTAGCTATTCAGGAGGCTGAGGCAAGAGAATTGCTTGAACCTGGGAGGTGGAGGTTGCAATAAGCCAAGATTCTGCCAATGCATTCCAGCCTGGGCAACAAAAGTGAAAATCCATCTCAAAAAAAAAAAGAAAAAAGAAAAGAAAAATACTGCATTTTCTCACTTAAAAATGGAAGCTAAACATTGGGTACACACGGACACAAAAATGGGAATAATAAACACTGGGGATTCCAAAAGGGCTGATGGGGGAAGGCAAGGGTTGAAAAACTACCTAACAGGTGCTGTGTTCACCACTTGGGTGACAGGATCATTAGAAGCGAAAACCTCAGCATCATGTACTATACCCATGTGACAGCCCTGCCTGTGTACCCCCCGATTCTAAAACTTTTTTAAAAGCTATAAATTTTTCTATAAGCACTGCTTTAGCTGCCTCCTACAAACTTTGATATGTTGGATTTTATTTTTATTCAGTTCAACATAATTTCTAATCTCTCTTTTGATTTATTCATGGATTGTTTAGAAATATGGTGTTTAATTTTACAATACTTGGGAATTTTTCCAGATACCTTGCTTTTTTGTTTTTAGCTTTTTTCATGTTTAAAGTATCCAACTGACTAGATATCTTATTAATTTCTTATTTAATTGTCTTGCGGTTAGAGACCTTTTTTGTTTTTGTTTTTGAGATGGAGTTTTGCTCTTTTGCCCAGGCTGGAGTGCAGTGGTGCCTTCTCAGCTCACTGCAACCTCCATCTCCCGGGTTTAAACAATTCTTCTGCCTCAGCCTCCCAAGTATCTGGGATTACAGGCCTGTGCCACCATGCCCAGCTAATTTTTGTATTTTTAGTAGAGAGGGGGTTTCACCATGTTGGCCAGGCTGGTCTCAAATGATCCACCTGCCTCGGCCTCCCAAAGTGCTGGGATCACAGGTGTGAGCCACCATGCCCGGCCAGAACCTATTCTTTTTAATACAACATTGATCTTTTTACTGTATTAAAACATGTTTTAGAGTCAAACTACAAGTGTTTTGTCTTGTTGAATGTTTCATATGCACACAAATTCAATGTATATTTAGCTGCTATTGGGTGTAGGGTTTTCTAAAAATCCACTAGCTAAAAGTAAAGAACACAAAACCCAGCCCTTGTGACAGCACACCAGTCTGGTAGACGGACCGCCATGCACACCCTGTGGCCTGTACCCATTCGTTTGCATCCTGCCCATTTGTCTCAAAAGAGCCAACAGCTTTGAAGTCAGGCAGATCTGGTCCTGGCATCCTTGTTGCTGGGTTCTGTGGCCTGAAGCAAGTCACTTACCCTTCGAGCCTTGGCTCCTGAATCTATGACATACCAACTTATAGGTGACAGCCATGGGTTACATCTGCCCATGATGGGCCAAGGAAACAGAGAGGAGGCGGTGGGTACTACCACAGTGCTCAGACCCCCTGGGTGCCTTCCGGGAGGTCCAACTGCAAAGACCTACCCTGGGCTGGGTGTACAGTGTGTCCTGGCCCTCTGGCTGCTGACACGTCTCTAGGGAAGGAAGCCATAACCCCTCTTGCCATCTGTTCCCTTCCAGGGTGAGCTTGGATTGCCCGGTGCCCCAGGAATCGATGGAGAGAAGGTCTCTGGGCCTTTCATTTCCTTGGTGATGCCAGCGCCTGGTATTGGGGTGTGTGTGTGTGTGAGTGTATACGCAAGCACGCATGCATGTGTGCACAGAGTTAGAGAAAGAGCATGTGCGAGAGAGGCAAAAATCGTGGATTCTCACACCAGGCTGCCTGTGTACAAACCCTGGTCTGCCCTCAGGCCCTGGGCAAGTTGCCCACTCTCAGGCAGGGCTGAGTAACCCTGTGTATGAAGAACACTCAGTGCAGTGCTTGGCACATAGTGGAAAGCCGCAGAGGCTAAGAGCATCACTGCCACCATAGGTATTACCGAAGTGAAAGAGAGAGAGAGAGAGAGAGGGAGACGACAGAGTGTGTGTGTGTGTGTGTGTGTGTGTGTGTGTGTGTGTGTGTGTGTGATATCCTATACAGATGTGAGCATATTCATAGGGTCACTTGCTATATTCAAGGGCAAGTCTTTCTCACTGGGCCCATAGTGTGTGTCTCATCCTGGACGTTATGTAATTGGTTGAGTGGAGGGATTTGGTTGCTGGATGAGTTTGTGGGGGTGGGGGAGTCCCACCACTAGCTTCTAAGATGTAAGCACAAAGCTGGCCCCATGAGCACGCCCAGAGGGGCAGTTCCAGGCTCACATGCTCCACGCATCTGCCCCTGGCCCCTGCCCTGAGGTGTCCACACCCGGATGCAATGAGGCAGGAGTGGCATTGCCTCCCACCCCCCGCCACTGCATTCAATGGAGGCTCTCAGCCACCATGGCTGGAGGTGGGGACCCACAAAGAGGAAGTGGGGGCCTACCATGGACTAAGCTCTGGGGACCCACTAGGGTGGGGAAAGGGAGAGGACCTGCTGAGCCCCATGAATCCCTTGTTTTTGTGGCTTTCAGGGTCCCAAAGGACAGAAAGGAGACCCAGGAGAGCCAGGGCCAACTGGACTCAAAGGGGAAGCAGGCGAGATGGGCTTGTCTGGCCTCCCGGTATGTGACTGGGCTGGGCCACACATTATGCCTCCTGTGTGGGAGCCCCGAGGTGACTGCGTGGCCCCTGTGCTGTGAGGGGGCCAGGGGCGTCCAACAGCCATTGCAGTCTCAGTGCCCAGCCTGCTGGGGACACTGTAGGCTCCAGGCCAGCGCTGCCCTCCTCTCTCCAGGTGTCTATTTCCTTGTCTGGAACAGGCTTTCCACCTTGCTCAGATGGCAGGTAGAATCGGGAGACATGGCCATGGAAGCGCATTGACCAGATGGTTATACCACTGTTCTCTGACCTAAGCTGCCCAAATTTGCATTCAGCTCTGTCCTAGCTGACTTTGGAGCCCTGGGCAAGCAACCTAACCTCCTGGGGCCTTGGTTTCCTCACTTCCAAAGTGGGGGTGATCTTTCCCCTCCCTCAAGGGCATGCGTGGCTGGGCTGACAGTGGTGGCTGGCACACAGCAGTACCCACTGTTGTTGTCCTCATCATTTTTATTGTTGCTTTTGTGGCCCGACTGGAAGAGCCGCCAGGTGTAACACCACCACTGGGACACATTCGCTGTCCATCCCTGATGATCACTGGGCTAGAGGAGCTGCTGGGGTTTGACCCGGGGTCTTTGCTTCAGAGCCCCTGGTTGCTCCCTGCACCCCAGGAAAACAATCTGCATGGCTGCTCATGTGCTCTCTAAAGCCCACGCTGCTCACCACCCACGGCGTGGTACACAGATCTAAGGAAAACCTTTTTCAGTTGCAACGGCTAACTTATGACTACTGCCAGAAGCCACATGGGGGCAGGAAGGGAGGTCGCTAAGCACCATGGGTGGTGACGCAGGTGCTAGACACAAAGGACTCACAGGCCATGCCATTCTGCAGGGTGCCGACGGCCTCAAGGGGGAGAAAGGGGAGTCAGCGTCTGGCAGCCTACAGGAGAGCCTGGTAAGCGTGTGCAGGGGGCAGGGCTTCCCCCAGCACCCAGTCCAGGCTGGGTGGGGACCCTGAGCCTTGGGACAAAAAGGCCACCTGGCCTGAACAAACCCAGGGCAGTAGGGGAGGAAGAGTAAAGGGAGCAAGGCTCCTCTGAGAACCCACAGGCCAACTGCCATCCACTCACCAGGCTGTGCCCTCTGAGGGCAGGAAGGAGACCCTCACTCCAGCAGTGTGCAGTGAGCTTGGGTGCGGGCGGGTGAGGGTGACAGGTGGTGGGTGACTAACCTGTCTCTCACCCTCCCTAGGCTCAGCTCATAGTGGAGCCGGGGCCCCCTGGCCCCCCTGGCCCCCCAGGCCCCATGGTAAGGACGGTTTGTTTTGGTTTGGTTTGAAGCAGCCAGGAAAGCAAGAGGCGGGGTGGGGGCTAGGTCCCGGAGCCATGACCCAGGAGAGAGCAGGCTTCTTTATTCAGGGAGGGGCACATGGGCAGAGGGCAGAGCCCAGGATGGGGCCCCAGGGGCCAGCAAGTGGCCACTGCAAGAGGGTCCGGAGCCAGCCTTCTCATCTGCTTCTTCTTCCTGCAGGGCCTCCAGGGAATCCAGGGTCCCAAGGTGAGTGGACACAGATTTCCCTACTGGCCTCAGACTCACCGCCCAGGCGGTTTCCAAGAACCTCACCAAAGCGAAGGGCCTGACCTCCGCCCTGGCCCATCCCTGAGTCTTCCTAGCACCTGAACATCCCAAGTCCCCAGGGCATAACCTCCCAGATGTCCTCAGGGCCAGTGCCCCCTCCCCACACCTGGGGCTCTCTCCTCCACTTTCTCTGTCTGCCTGGGACCCCAGTCTGTCCCTCTTTCCTTCTCGGGTCCACCACCCACTGTTTCTACTGCTTGTCCCCTTCTCCTTTCTCTGTGCCTCCCAGTTCCTTGCACTGTCCTCGCCTCTCCCCATTCCAGCCTGCCCCACACACATCTGTCTCTCAGCTGCCACAGGCTGAGCACGAAGTCTTGGGCTTGGTGTCTATTACATAATGGCGTGTTCCCTTCTCTTACATTAAATCTTCGAGTGTGGCCTGCCCACATGCCCTGCCCCAGGGAGGCAGACACAGAAGGGGGGGCCATCTGGCCTCACTCCTTGTCACACCACCCCCCACCCCCGGGGGTGAGTACATCTCTGCTTCCCCAGCTCAGAGGCCAGATGTAGGATTCAGAGTCATGGAATCCCAGGTCTCAGCATGCGGCCCCACCAGATACACTTTCTTCTGGCTCTGTTTTCTCTTAAGGCCTCCTCAGTTCATGTTTCAAAGAGGTGACTGCTGTCAGGGACAGGGTCCAAGGCTTGCCACAGAGGCCTGATGAGGACCCAGCTCTGCTGCCTTCCACTGTGTGGCTGGGCCCATCCCCACTCATCTCTGCACCTGCTTTCCTCATCTGTGGAATGGGTGTGACCATGATCACCTTCCAGGCATGGCCAGAGCTCTTCCTGATTACCCTCACCGGAGAGTAAGCCAGGGTCAGGCCTGGCGGAGCCTGGATTTGTTCCTCTGCCCACACCCCAGCTCCCATGCAGTCTCCAAGCTTGCCTGTCCTACTGTCTGTCTGACCCCTTCCCCCTGACTGATTTCCCTCCTTTGCCTCCAGGGCTTGGATGGAGCAAAGGGAGAGAAGGGCACATCGGGTGAGAGAGGTCCCAGCGGCCTGCCTGTGAGTGTCACGAGACTTGTTTGTCCCAAAGGTGTTAATTCCTGTAACCAGCATGCCTCTTGACTCATTCCTTTTCTATCCAGGGGCCAGTTGGCCCACCGGGCCTTATTGGGCTGCCAGGAACCAAAGGAGAGAAGGTAACTGCCTTATTCAGAACTCCCTCTCCAACTATGGCCACATGTTCATGGTGTCGCTCAGCCCTGGGAGCCCAAACCTGTACCTCACTGGGTCCCTGCACTTCACAGAGCCAGAGTTTACACTCTGTGGATGCCAGGTCTATCCTGGCCTCTATCTATGCCTGCACGGTTGGTGGGTCTCCTTGCCCCCCTCTCTGTGGCCAGACCTGGTATCCACAGGGCTGGACTTCCCAGCAGCTGTACTCCCAGCACCCCTCCCTAACCCCTCTTACCCACTCTGTGTCTCTTCTCAGGGCAGACCCGGGGAGCCAGGACTAGATGTAAGTGACTCATCATTTGCGTTGAGTAATTGGGTCCCTCTTGTGTGTATCTTCTGCCCTCATGTAGTAACCTGGTCTGGCTACTCAAGTGTGACCCCCCTTTCCCAGGGCTGGGACTGCAACTGACTGGTTCCCCCTGTGTCCTCATTGGCAAATCCAGTGCACAGCCCAGAGTAGGTGTTTTTATGGACAGATGAATGGATTGTTGATGGGTGGATAATGGAAGGATACATTGGTAGATGGATGATGGATGGAGGATGAAGGACAATGGAGGATGCATTGTTGGATTGATAGATGCATAATGCATGCAGGATGGATGGATGGATAAATAGATGGATAGATGATGGATGAGTGGATGATAGATAAATGGATGTTGGGTGGCTGGATGTTAAATGGATGTTGGATATGTGGTTGGATGGATAATGGAAGAAAGATGGATGATGGATGGAGGATTAATCTATTCAATCCTCCATCCATGCATCCATCAATCAATGCATCTGTATCCATTATGGATGGATGTTTGGATAGATAATGGATGGATAGATGTTGGATGATGAATGGATGGATAGATGGATGGATGGATGGATAATGAATGGCAATGGAGGGATGGATGGATGGATGGATGATGCATTGTAGCAAGGAAGTGAAGAGAGGAGTGAAGAGCCTGTTGCAATATCCTCGTGAGAGATAATGAGGCTTTAGCTAGAGCAGTAATTTGAGAAGAAGAGGAAGGGAAGTATTAGCCCAGGTTGATTATATCAAGTCTGTTCTGGTAGCATACATAGAAAACAGTTTAAACTGGCTTAAAATGTCTCATAACTGAAAAGTCTTGGGGTTCAACACGTGGATCCAGGGCTCAACTGTGTCAACACAACTCAGCCTTTCACCCTCTTTTGTCTGCTTTCCCTGTGGAAATCAAGTTCCACGTGGTGGTGAGGTAAAGCCAGCAGCTCCAGACCAGCCTCCTCCCAGGCCCAAACCAAGAAGAAAGAAAATTTACCTCACTCCAGTGTTCTACCGGAAGTCTCATGGGCTCTCACTGGTCCCAGTTAGGTTAACACTGAACCGTCTTGACCATAGGAATGCAGTGCCCTGATGAGTCAGATCACGGACTGGGGTGAAATCAATGTGTTGTAAGAAGGGAGGTTGTTCTCAGGAAGAGCAGGTAGCTATTTCAAGGGACATAGGACAGAAGCAGGGCTGCAAGGACTCTGGTGCCCACCCTAGACTTTAAAAAGAGAACATTACCTGGAAGAGCAACTGTGGACAAGGGAAAGGAAGAGCTGTAGTCTGGGTTTCTGACTGGGAGGGCTGGCCTCCATCAATGGGAAGGGAGAGGACAATGCTGAGCCCACTGCAGGTTCTGGGGCCAGTTGTGGGTGGAGCTAAAGAGACTCCATGCCACCATGAATGTGGTCACAGCTGCATTCTAGGAGGCCTGGTGCTCAGGGTAGCATCTCAAAACCATGCCCACCTGCTCTACCTGGCAAAGCCCAAGCCCCTCCTCAACTCCACCAGGCTCAACTGTAATGCGGACTGTGCTCAGAAGCTCCTTCTGACCCCCACCTGTAACAGAGCAGCCCTTGCCCCCAGAATCCCACCCCACCATCTCACACCTGTCACTGAGCATTGACTGTCATCAGCACTCTGTTGCCTCCCCGTTACACATCAACAAGGAAACATGTCCAATCCAATTCTCTTTTTTTATTTTTAAACTTTTGTTTGTTTCTTTGTTTTTTGAAATGGACTCTTGCTCTGTCCTCTAGGCCAGAGGCAGTGGCGCAATCTCGGCTCACTGCAACCCCCACCTCTCGGGTTCAGGCGATACTCCTGCCTCAGCCTCCTGAGTAGCTGGGATTATAGGTGCCAGCCACCATGCCTGGCTAATTTCTATACTTTTAGTAGAGCCAGGGTTTCACCATATTGGCCAGCCTGGTCTTGAACTCCTGACCTCAAGTGATCTGCCTCAGCCTCCCAAAGTGCTGGGATTACAGGTGTGAGCCACCATGCCCAGCCATAACAAATCTAACTCTCTGTCCTCAGTGTCCAGCCAGTCCAGCTCCTAGTAGCTGTTTAGCCACATTGGATGGATGGATGGATGGACAGATGGGTGTACAGGAAGCTGAGCCAAGAGCACAGGACAGAGGTCATTTCTCATTCCATCAAAGACAGTGACATAACTTCCATGGTTTCTGGGGCCTCGGTCCCCAGCCAAGCCTAGACCGGTGCCAGCCACATCTGTGATGTGAGAGACCCCTTGTCAGCAGCTCTGCCTGACTGTTGGTATCCAGGGACTACTTTGGAGCAAGCCCACCTGGCATCCTCAATACATGCTCTTCCTACATCAGCCTTGTACCTGGCAGTGTATCACCTACAGCTGGGACCGGGCCAGCGTGTGCCATGAACATGCACAGGGAGGTGGGTGGGAAGTGGGCATGTGGATGGCAGAGGAACAGAGACGAACAGGTAACAGAGGGGCAAACCTCCAGCCTCATTTTCGGATTCAGTCTCTAATCCTTTTGTCAGGGTTTCCCTGGACCTCGAGGAGAGAAAGGTGACCGGAGTGAACGTGGAGAGAAGGTAAGGGCAGCTGGACGGGAGCTAGGGCAGGAGGAAAGGGGAAGGAGGCAGGTAGGAATGGAAGCCTAGGGGAATCAGGCAGCGAGAAGCTGGCCAGGCAGGTGGGCGGGAGGCAGGGGGAGGCTGGCCCCAGGTGCCTCTCTCGGAGAGGTGTTGGAGGTGCCTGAGCCTGGCAGCTATGGCCAATACCATCATCTTCCCTCCTGCACAGGGAGAGCGAGGAGTCCCCGGCCGGAAAGGAGTGAAGGGCCAGAAAGGCGAGCCAGGACCACCAGGCTTGGACCAGCCGTGTCCTGTGGTAGGTGTCGGAGCAGGGCCCCACCCCAGGTCTTTTTGGCCTCCAGCCAGGGTCAGACCAACATCTTGCCTGTCCTCAGAGCTCAGTTGCAAGTCCCAGAGGCCCCACTGGTCATGTACCAGCCTTCCTCACTGTCAGGAACACTGCTGCTGACTGCCCCCAACTGTGGGCATGGCTCGGGGAACCCAGCCCCTCTAGAGATGGAGGCCTGGCCCCTCATTGTTCAGCCTCAGGACAGGCCTGGCTTGAGTCAAACGCACTTGGGGTGGAGGTCGACAGGGGCCAGACCATGAGCAGAAGGGCTTTACCTGGAGTCATCAGTACCATCAGCAGTGCCCTGGGAGGGGGCTGGGCCCTGGAGAGGGAAGCGAAGTCAGCACAGGCACGCTGCTGGGGGCGGGGCAGTGAGCGTCCAGCCCCATCGCCCTGGCCACCTGGGGCCACAGTCAGGGTCTGACTCCTGCTGTGCTGGAAGTCAAGCTGGGCTGAAACTCAGCTTCCCCACCTCTATGGCTGGCTGCCCCTCCCCTTCCTTCTTCCTTCCCAGAAGAGTCTCTCTGGGCAGAGGCAGCACCTCCCTCTTCCTCGCATTCCCCCCTCTTCCTCGCATCCCCTCTGCCTGCCCCCATACCCTTCCTTTACCTCCTTACCTGCTCTCTCAGTGTCCCTTGGTAGCCCACCAGTCCCAGTACCCAGTGCGTGAAACAACTACAATTCAAAAGTCAACTCCTTTTATTTCTTTTTAAAGACAGACTTAGTCTGTCGCCCAGGCTAGAGTGCAGTGGTGCAATCATGGCTCACTGCAGCCTCGATCTCCCAGGCTCAAGTGATCCTCCTGCCTCAGCCTCCCCAGTAGCCAAAACTGCAGGAATGCACACCATGCCCCACTAATTTTTAATTTTTGTAGAGATGGAGTCTTGCGATGTTGCCCAGGCTCATCTTGAACTCCTGGGCTCAAGTGATTATCCCACCTTGGCCTCCCAGAGTGCTGGGATGACAGGTGTGAGCCACCATGGCCTGCCTAGTTTCCTTTTGCTAGAAAGCAGGGAGGGTTTACATGTCATACTCTTTCAGTGGAGCTCAGAAAAGATAGGAAAAACAAAACAGCTGGGTTTCCATACTAAAACTGGGCAGATATTCATACCTGGCTACTCATATGTTCATACCCTGGCCATGGGAATAGGGTGGGGGCCTTCCTCAGGGATGCAGGCCAGCCTCAACCTCCAGTGGCACCAGAGCTAGAGACCCCCTCCCAGACCTTTGGCCTCTGTTCCTCAGTGTCCCCATCCTGCAGTGGGGGGTACCCCTCCCCCCAGACAGTTTTGAGAAGTCAATGAGAAAAGGACTTACAGAGTGAAGTGGTCAGAGCACAGAAAGGGCAGGGACAGCAGGGGCAGGGTGACTCAGTCCCACAGCTCTAGACTGTGGCCCAGGACTCCCCTCCAAGTCAGTAAGCCCTTGTCTCCTTTGAAACAGGAGAATCCCACCTGCGGAGGCCGGAGAGGGGCTCCAGGCTGGCGGGGCCCTTCGAGGGGCAGTGGGCCATGCCCTGGGGTAGGCAGCCTGGCCTGCTGTGTGCTGTGTGCAGTGTGCTGTGTGGGCCTTCTGGGCAGCCGGGGCCCTGGGCTCTGCCCCGGCCTTCCTTGCTTCCACCTTCCTTTCCATTCTGCCCTCCTCCCTACCTTCCCTTTGGTCCCTAGCCTGGTTCCCTGGTGTACTCATGGGAATGTTCCAGGGGATGCCCAGTGAAGCCTGTGCCAATGCTCTGGAACAGAATGATATGTTTTGTGCCCTAGCGCCCCCAGGGGTGCCAAGCTGATGAGTCAGTCTTTGTTCCTCTTCAGTTTCCCCACCCTCCAGGCTGCCTGAGGAAACCCAGACCCTGCTTATGTGTGACTGCTGAGTGGGCACCACAGGTGCCACCAGACAGCCCCAGCCCCACGCTCAGCCCCAGCCCCCAACAACCTGAGCCTGCCCTGTGCAGGGCCAATACAGGCTGGAGCAGGATGCCAACTCCTGGGCCGTCCTCAAAACCCTCCAGACGACATTCCTGCCCAAGGCCTGAAAGTTCACAGGCCCCAGAATGAGGAGCCAGAGTCACTATCACATCAGGCAGGAAGCCACACAGCTCTCGGCAGGACCCAGGCCAGCCCATGCATGCCTGGTACAACACCCATCCCTTCTGTTTCTGCCCACTGCACAGTGGTCTCCACAAAGCACAGAGGGAACACACTCAGGACAAGCTAAGTGAGAGGCCATCATGTCTCCATCACCCCACTACCTGGGTGGACAGAGGGGACATTGTGGCCCTGCCTCAGTGGGCCCTCAGCAGCCTCACATGGCAGCTCCCTGGCCTGCACCTCCCTACAGACCAGGGAGGGTATGTGGGGTATAGAGGAGCTCCCCAAGCCCCATCCCCATCACTGAAACTTTCTTCTTTTCTAGGGCCCCGACGGGCTGCCCGTGCCTGGCTGCTGGCATAAGGTACCTTGCAGGGAAGAGCCTCCAGGGCAGGCTCAGGGGAGGTGGGGGAGGCAGGGGAGGGTGGGGGGATGGGGAGCACCCTGGAGCCTGGGTGCTGTCACTCAAACCTCTGGGTGTCTACAGCTCACCCCACAGTGACTGAATAGCCCGGTTTCCCATGATGACCCTGGTTTTGACTCTCCCAGCTTGCAGCTGAGGCGTGGGACTATAGTCCTGGGTGATGGTGTATAACCCACCCTGTTGGTCACATGGACTCAAATGACACTTGGCCAAGGCAGAGTAAAGCCGTCAGTGCCTCCTGGGATATTGTCCAAACTGGCCCACTGAGAGGGAGAGGGAGGCAAGGGAAAAGAGAAGGGGTCCGCAGCTGTTCCTGAGGAAATGAACAGGAAAGGGATTGCCGGAGTAGGGTGGCCTGGATGGGGGTGGGGCCTCTCAGCTCCTTATCACCTTCAGTCTCTTCCTCCTTTTCCAGTGACCCTCAGGCCCAGCTCACACCTGTACAGATCCGTGTGGACATTTTTAATTTTTGTAAAAACAAAACAGTAATATATTGATCTTTTCTCATGGAATGCACTACCTGTGGCATTTTAACATTCGAGACTGTGCTCACCCAGCCCCAGAGCCTTCAGCATGTGAAGCTGCAGGAAAGTGGACAGCCCAGACCAGGGAGATGTGTACCTAAGGGGCACCCTTGGGCCTGGGCTTTCCCGGGAAGGAGACAAAGGCAGAAGCCCCTGGCTAGGGCAAGGCTGGAAAGATGCTAGGTTGGGCCTTCACAGAGAGACTCTCAGCGGTGGTACTGCCCTTCAAGAACCTGTCCCCAAAACCCTGGATTCCCTGGGACACATCCTATCCAAGAAGGCTCAGGGCTGGGACAGCAGCTGCTGCTGCTGCTGCCACCGGCCTCACCAGCCTCCAAACTCAGCCACAACCAGCTGCCTCTACAGTTGGACAAGACTTGGCCCCTGGACAAGACTCACCTGGAACTTGCAGCTGAACCCACAGAGCAGTGAGTGGAAATCCCCCAAGAGGGTCTAGCTGCCACCACATTTGGTAGGCCCCAGGAGGCCAGACTGCCATGAGAATATATGTCCTCTGGCCAGGAGTAGTGGCCAAGCTCTGTGATAGCTGTGATGTGGACCCCGCTCCAGGGAGCTAGCTGAGTGTCGGGGATGGAGGGGCCCAGGTGGGACTGACTGCTACTTCCTGTCTCTGTTTTCATATCATCCAGAGAGGGACAAGATGGGACATGGCCCAGCCAAAGGAGGCAGTCCTCCCACTCAGAGTCTGAGTCTTACTGATCCCAAGTCTCCTACCCAGAACTGTGGCCAAAAATGACTCTACGTGGGCTGTACAGGCAAAGCAAACCTCAGGGCTGGTTCCCAGCTGGCCTGAGCAGGGGGCCTGCCACCAGACCCACCCACACTCTGACAAGAGGCTTTTTCGCTTCCAGCAAGCGTTCCCAGCAACCAGCTCCATCCTGGCTGCTCACCTTCCTTCCATTTCCATGTAGATGGAGATCACTGTGTGTAATAAACCACGAGTGCGTGTCTGGGTGAGCCTGTCCTTGTGGACTACCCCTGGGGCACCTCTGGCTGCGGTTTCCTGGCCACTGCTGGGTGGGGAAGGAAAAGGGGACTCTCCCTGAGTCAGAGCCATCCCAGAAACAGAGAAGGAAGTTCAGCGTTAGGGAAAAGATGGGACTTGGAGTTCAGAAGACACGGATTCACAGCCTGGTCTGGCTACACACCGAGTCCTCTGGCGAGTCTCTAACTGTCAAACTGAGCCCCTGTGTGCTCCTCTATTGCAGTTACCAGAATGCTGCATAACAAATCTCTCCAAAACTTGTTGCCTTAAAAAAATGGTCATTTTGGCCAGACACAGTGGCTTGTGCTTGTAATCCCAGTACTCTGGGAAGGCAAGGTGAGAGGATCACTTGAGCCCAGGAGTTTGAGACCAGGCTGGCCGCATAGGAAGACTCCATCTCTACCAAAACTAAAGAATTAAAAAACATTAGTAGGGCATGGTGATATATCCCTGTGGTCCTAACTGCTGGGCAGGCTGAAGCAGGAGGACCACTTGAGCCCAGAAGTTCAAGATCAGCCTGAGCAACATAGAGAAATTCCTCTCTTAAAAAAAATAATAATAATTTCTATTTCTCTTGTATAGCCTATGGTTAATGGGCTCAGTGTGGGTGCTTCTCACTCAAACTCTCCCGCATGGTGGTTGCTACTGGTCCTATAGCCAGGACTTCAGATGGCAAATACCTATTTGTAGCCTCTCCACTTGACCCAGGCTCCCTCCCACATGGTGGCTGGATTCTAAAAGTGACTGTCCCAGGTCAGCCAGGTGGAAGCTGTGTCACCTTTTAGGGCCAAGTCTCAGAAGTCATGTGCTGTCACTTTCTGAAAGAGTGGAGGGAGGAGAGATAGACCCCACCTCTCCATGGGAAAGTGTCAACATCATATTTCAAGGAGAAAATGTGGAATCATAAATCTTCTTGCGGCCGTCTGAAAAAATGCAAACTCCCACCTCAACCGTGAAATGAGAGGGCACTATTTACCACTCGGATTGTGGTTCCCTGAGGATCCAGTGCACAGAGTATGCAAAGAATGTAGGGTGAGTCCCTTACCCAGAAGCACCCTCAATTCTGATTTTCCTCCCTCCTCCTGACTCCAAGACTGAGCAAGGGCCACAGTCCTGCAAAGTGTTCCCACTTCTCTCATCACAGCTGGTCCCTATTACAGCCCTGAGAGGGTCCCTCTTACAGATGACAAAACCAAGCACATCCAGGGTGGCCTAGACAAGATGGGCCTGCAGTGATGGTGTCTCTGATGGTGGTGGTGCATTACACTGACGGTGTCTGAGTCTACAAGGACTGAGGCCTAAGGAGGGCCACAGTATGAATGGTCCCCCTCAGACCTCTGTGACATGGCCTCCTTGCTAAGCAGAAGAGGCTTAGACATACACTGGCTAAGGAGGAGGGATATGTCCAGTCCCCTTCTCTGTTTCCCTAGGAAACTGGCAATAAGTAGCAGGCCACATCACTCAGCCAGTTGTCTGGGTCAACAGGAAAGCCAGTAGTAGGAAACACCACTGTGGTGTTTCTCTTCTGTGATGACTGATGGAAGTCACTGGGTGTCCACACCTCCTCTGGAGTTCCAGCACAACCTCACAATCTACTGCACGCTACACTTCACAGTTCCCTCCTCCCTCCATCCAGGAACCCCACTTGATCCCCTCACCAGTCCTGCAAAGCCCAGGGCTTGTGTGATAGGTGTCACTGTTTCCATTTTACATAGGGGAGAACTGAGGCTCAGAGAGGGTAGTCACCTGCCCAGGGATGCACAGCCAGGACATAGTGGCAGGCTTGGGAGAGCATCTAGGCTCTTGGGTTGTCTTCTACTTTGTCTTTCCAAAACTTGTCTGGCAGAGCATGGAATCTGATAGGCAGTTCCATGATGCTGGGTGGTTGGCAGGTAGATCCTCCTGGGGGTAGAAGCCATGTGTTCCCCGCTCTTCCCCAGTCTTCTGAGGGGGTCTCTCCTGCTCCTTTGGGCAGGATGGGGCATTCTTGGCCCACTGCTGCCCCCTTGCGGTGTCATACCTTGTATCCTAATGCCTGCAAACTTGTCAACTGCAAGCTTCAAAATTTAGAGTCTGCTGAGTCCTCAAAGCACCCAGGGTTGAGCACAGAGACAGCAGAGGAATCAATGACTTGTTCAAGGTTCCAGCTGAGACACTGGGGAGCATCCTGCTTCACAGCTGAGTCTCAAGGACTGGGGGGCCTCAGATCTCCTGCCAAGAAAGGCAGTGCAGCCACAAAGTACCCCTTTCTGGAAAAGAGAGAAGTATATTTACTGACCCCTGCTACATGCCATGACAGCTAAACCACAAGGATAACTATCCCTTTTTATAGATGAATCTGAAGTGGACTTACCTAGGTCTCTTTCCTCCTGGTCCCTAGGAGACCACTAGAAATACAGGGGCTACTCTTGGTTATCACAATGATTTGGGGACACCCTGGCATTCAAGGGGTAGGCCCAGGGATAGTGAACACCTAAAATGCATAGGCCAGTCCTACCCAATGACAAATCATCTCAACAAGAATCCCAGTGCTACCCCTGTTCAGAAATACCATGCCCTGGGTTCAAATCCTGGCTCAGCCACTTCCATCTCCTACCATCTTGGTCTCCAAAGTTGCCTTGAAGTCCAGGCATGAGATAAAGACAGAGGAGTGCTTAGCACAGGACTAGAGACAAGAAGTGGACTTTTCTGAGCAGGAAGAAGGTAAGGCTTCCTGGTGTTGTCCCTGGCCATGCTATAAGATACTCCTGGCCCAGGAAATGACTCAGCCTGGCCTGACCTCAACTATATTACTTTTTTTTTTTTTTGAGACAGAATCCCATTCTGTCGCTCAGGCTGGAGTGCAGTGGCATGATCTCAGCTCATTGCAATCTGACTCCCATGTTCAAGTGATTCTCTTGCCTCAGCCTCCTGAGCAGGTGGAATTACAGGCGCCTGCCACCACACCTGGCTAATATTTTTATATTTTTAGTAGAGACAGGGTTTCACCGTGTTGGTCAAGCTGGTCTCAAACTCCTGATCTCAGGTGATCCGCCCACCTTGGCCTCCCAAAGTGCTGGGATTACAGGCATAAGCCACCGCACCCGGCCTATATCACCTCTTGACCAAGGAGCAGGTGAAATGTTAGCTGGGCCCGGCTACAGCCTTCTCACCCTCTGCCTCAAAGCAGGAAAAGCCCCTGAGCCAATCTGACTCCTCTGAGCTGCCATGGGGCCACAGCTGTGGCTGGAGTTTGAGCTACAAGACAGGGCTGAAAAGTGGGCCTCAAATAGAACACACACACACACATACACAAAGCCTGAACTGCAGGGCATGGAAGTATCATAGGTCTCTCTACTAGTGAGGAGAAACCAATCCACGAAGAAAATGGTGACCACGATCCCACTCACACACACACAGGATCTGTGAGGACTTGATCTTTAGAAACGAAGTATAGGGTGGGCATTGTGGCATGCACCTGTAGTAGCAGGTACTTGGGAGGCTGAGATGGGAGGATCACATGAGCCCAGGGAGGTAGAGGCTCTAATGAGCTATGATCATGCCACTGCACTCCAGCCTGAGCAACAGAATGAGACCTTGTCTTAAAAAAAAAAAAAAAAAAAAAAAAAAAAAAAAAAA